ACCTGCATATTACAGGGCGATGGGTCTGATAACGAGAAGGGTAGAATGTGGCTCGTCCTGTTGGCCGCCTGGCAGGTGCCTCTGGAGTTTACTGAGCTTGTGAATTCCTTGTGGAGAGAGCTCTATGCTCTTCCCTTCTCATCCAGTCACCCACACAGGAGTCTGATTCAGACAGGCGAAAGGCGTGGCTCACAGGCCCTTCAGGCCAGAGGACGAACGAGAACACCTGACTCCACTTCCTTGTTCTAGCTCCAGCACGTGGTTTTTACAGGCAGCACAGACTACCTATCAGCTGTGACTTTCAGATGATGGAAATGAGGGGTAAGTCATCTGGGTTTTGCTCAAGGTCATGTGGTAAGTTCACGCCTTGAGCACTGGACACGGAAAGTCATACTGTTTTACTGGAGGGACTTCATGAGTTTCAAGAAGATATCAAGTGTGCCTAGCAACCTGTGGTTCTTAACAAATGTGAGAAAATATTCAAATGTATGTGCCTTCCCCTTCTAGGGGGCAGGAGCCCCAGGACAAGAGCCACTGACAGACACAGGGAGGAAGGATGTCCTCAGACTGCTTAGCTTCGTTGTTGGTCTCCCATCTTTTCCACTTTGGGTCTGGGTTCTGCCTCACGGGGCCCTAAATCGGGGTTAGAAATTGCCTGACAACCCAGAAAACGCTCAGGAGTTTTGGTTAAGTGGTTCCTCACCTGGAAATGCCACTTCCAGCTCAGATAGTGACGTGGAAGCCTCCTCTGGGTCCTCCACAAGCCCCGCAGAGGTGAAGACCCTAGCGGCATCGTCTTAGTAGGTATTTTTCACCCTCGCCTCCTCTCTGCCTCCCTCCATTGCTCTAGCTCGTCTATCAGGTGACAGGCAGCCTGCGCCTTTCCTTGAGAGCCATGGGCATCCTAGCTGGTCTGGACTTTCAAAGCTAGCCCATGCAAGGGCTCTGTGGTGGCATCTGCTTTGGGACTCTCCGAATGGACCCTAGGACTGCTTTGCCAGGAAGGAAGCGGGCTTGGCCCTGCCCACCTCATTGTCTGTAAGCCATCTCTCCAGCACTGCAGACTGGTGATCTCACTGTTCGGGTGTCGCTTATTTGTACAGCTCTCTACCATTTAAGGCCGAGTCTTAGTGGCTGCCATGGGAGTTGGGAGTAATTGCAGCATTCTGTGGAGCTCTGGCCTCCTCATCACATTCTGGTCTTCTTCCCCAGAGCTGCCTTTGATCTAGCTCTTTGTTGGAAAGGTAACCATTAAGATGTCTATCTTCAGTTCCATTTACATGGAAGAGGCAAGGACTAAGCTGGCAGTAGATGTTCTCTTGTTCTCAGATCCAGTGATGCCTCTTGAAAGGCCATGTGCTTAGGGTGGACTTCTCTCTGTCGTGTGGATATGCCCTTCCAAGATCTAGCAGACACTCTGGCAGCCCTTGAAGTACTGATTACTATTTTTATTACACAGCAAATAAACAAACAAATGATAATGAGAATTCAGAAAGCAATAAAGATATACCATTGATGTCCTCACTATACGGAAACAACGAGGACAACAAATTTTCTATTGTTGTTCATAGCTGTTTCGAGTTGAAACTGCTTGCTTTGTGGAAGCTGAGACCTTACTATTCCCTCTAAATATTTTCCATGTTGGCCAACAGATCCAGGGTTCTGGGTATGTTGAAGTATTCTGCCCCTGATCTGTAGCTCCTACCCTTCTTCCGTATGGATTCAGGGGCTGAGCAGTGCTCCATCAAGTAACAATATAAATTTAATCAAATCTCCTTAGATATTTACAGTGTTTTCCCTTAAGTTACACTGTGGTAATTGTTTTATTTCTTAGCTTCTACCCCATTGCCACAGTTACTTTTCTTTGGTTTATCCAAATTGAATCCGCAGGGATTGTTGGGGCATTTCATGTTTTTGACATATATTACCATGTATGCAAAATTGTTTTCTAAAAGGATGGACCAATAATGACACATTCTATTTATTTATTTATCTATTTATCTTTTGTTTGTTTTTATTTATTTTTTTATACCAACCACAGTTTCCCCTCCTTCCTCTCCTCCTGGTCTCTCCTCCCATCTCTCTTCCCCCTTCCTCCCTTCCACTCCTCCTCTGTCTCCATTCAGAAGGGGTAAGGCTCCCATGGGAGTCAACAAAGTTTAGCAGACCAAGCTGAGGCAGAACCGAGGCCCTCCCCCTTGCATCAAGACTGGCCAAGGCGTCCCACCATAGGCCTAGGTTAATGACACATTCTTAACTCTAGGCCCCAGGGATTTATTGTTTTAGTGAAATTTCGATGCAGGTCATCTCATTCTATCCTTAGGCTTCCCCCTCCCGCTGTTTTGATTGCCTCTAAGGTGAGATGTTTTCCTCCTGTTAATACTTGACCACAGTTGTCCCTGTAACCTAACAAGGGTTTCCAGAAGTTTCTGAGATTCAGCAGACACCTTTCTGCATAGGTATGGAGCATAGAAACTTTGGGGGAAGGCCTTCCCAGGAGACCCCGAGACTCAGGCCTTCATGACAGCCACTAGCTGTCACGTCTGGAACCTGAGAGACCAGTGCCCTGAAGTCCTTGTCTAGCTTTGTCTCCTAAAAGTGTGTCTATAATTCCATCAGAAGTGTCGCTGGTGCCCTTGTTCAGGATTTTTTTTTTTTTTGAGTATCTGTATTTGCCTTTGACTGTTCTGAACCATTTCCTCAACACCATGGAAGGACAGGGAGGTACTGACTTGCTGTGAGTCCACGAAGAGCCATTCCTGGGCCAGCCTCTTTCCTGATTACTTCCTGCTGCTGCAGAGAATTCCAAACAGTTTTCCATTGAAATGTTGTGGGCTACTCTAAGGCACAGGTGATTTGACCTGCGTGACAAGGTTGTCAGCTGCCTGGATGCAGGAGTAAGCTCCTGACCTTTGACTGGAGATAAGAGGAGTACCCTCCTGTCTGACCATCCCTGAACTAGATCTGTGCACTTCAGGTGAGAGAATGGGGCACCTGCAGGGGAGGGAGGCTTAAGGCCGAGTCCACGCACGTGGGCGCTGAGGCTCTTGGTTGTTAGGGTTCTCTAAGCCTACTGTGTCCCACTGCAGTCCCCATCTCAGCAACACAAGCTTGTCCAGCCCTTCTTGTTTGTTCAGTTTGTTCTGGGCTCTCTAACTGCTTGTAAAATCTTCACTAAATATCAGATGTGCACGCCTTCCCTGACTGGCGCTCTCCCACTTGCATGCCTGCTTTTTGTACTTAAATTTTAATTTTGAAATCTTATAGATTCACATAAATTTGCAAAAACAAAGGTCCCAAGTGTTCTTCATTGGGGTTCTTGAAGTAGTGACATATTATTGAATTTTAATATCAAAGTGAGGTAAATGATACAACATACAAGCCATTTTTTTATTTTAATAATGTCTATTTCTACAAATAACTCAGAATTGGTCATCAAAAGAATAAATAATCCAATAAAAAATGGAGTACAGACCTAAACAGAGAACTCTTAACAGAGGAATATAAAATGGCTGAAAGACACTTAGGAAGTGATAACATCCTTAGTCATCAGAGAAATGCAAATCAAAACAACTCTGAGATTCCATCTTACACCTGTAAGAATGGCCAAGATCAAAAACACTGATGACAACTTATCCTGGAGAGGTTGTGAGGAAAAGGGAACACTTCTGCATTGTTGGTGGGAATACAAGCTGGTACAGCCCCTTTGGATGTCAGTGTGGTGATTTCTCAGAAAATTAGTAAACAACCTCCCTCAAGACCTAGCAATACCACTTTTGGGTATATATCCAAAGGATTTTCAATTGTACCACAAGATCATGTGCTCAACTATGTTCATAGTAGCCCTATTTGTCATGGCCAGAACCTGGAAACAATGTAAATGCCCCTCTACCAAAGAATGGATAAGAAAAATGTTATACATTTACACAATGGAATACTACACAGCGAAAAAAATATTGACATCTTGAAATTTGCGGGCAAATGGATGGATCTAAAAAACATCATATTGAGTGAGGTAACCCACACCTAGAAAGACAAATATCATATGTACTCACTCATAAGTGGCTTTTGGACATAAAGCAAAGAAAACCAGCCTACAATTCATGATCCCAGAGAACCTAGACCACAAAGAGGACCCTAAGAGAGACATACATGGATCTAGTGTACATGGGATGTAGAAAAAGACAAGATCTCGTAAGTAAATTGGAAGTGTGGGAATCATGGGAGAGGATAGAAGAGGAAAGAAAAAGAGGGGAGCAGAGAAAACTATATAGCTCAATGGAAACAGTGAAGACTATTTCTCAGTCTACAGGGGCATTTGGGAACTTGGGTGCTATGCTCAGCAGGATTAGAGTCTACACGGAGCAGACTGTGCCGCAGGGGAGCCAGGTGGACATTGTACTTACTGCCTCTTCACCCACCATCTGCTGTGCTCCAGGACACCCAACCCCTGACTGAAATAGGACTGTCCTCCCTATGGCACAGTGGAGGAAACTGAGGCATGAGTAAGTTAAGTGACAGATGTAAAGTCACAGTGTCATTAGGGGGTGGAACTAGAGTTTAAACCCAGGCAGGCTCTCTGAGCCCTTTGCCTAAGAGTTATGCAGCAGGACCAATGGCAGGTTGGTGGAATGTCGGTTCTTGAACGTTTCTAGATCTTTGACCAATCTTTCTCTGTCTGTCTGTCTGTCTCTGTCTGTCTGTGTCTCTGTCTCTCTCTGTCTCTGTCTCTCTGTCTCTCTGTCTCTCTCTCTCTCTCTCTCTCACACACACACATACAAACACACACTCTTCACGTGTCTTGTTTCCTGGGATTACATACGTTACCAGGCACAACCACACTTAAGTATCACTCACACTTTGCTCCAGCAGGGTTTGGCATCTCTAAGTGACGGGCAGAGGCTGTGGGGCCCTTGAAGCTCTCACCACCAAGGATTGCTTCTTGGTATAGTGCCATGTGACCACCACCAGAGAACAAAGCGAGTCCTCCGAGACGGAAGTCTTGCGCAGCAGAGGAACGTGTTTACTTGTCAGTTCATGGTTTTGCTTCTAGCCCCACAAGGCTGTAGGTGCTAATGGAGGCCAGTGACAGTGGGGTTAGTGTTGCCCGTGGTGCCTCACTCTGGGGGTGGGCATGATGGGCATGAGGAAGGGCACCTGGGAGGGCAGGGATTCTTAACACACACCATGGTGGGGCATGGTGGTGAACATTGCAGGGGGCATGGCGGACACGGGGGACATGGGGGGCACTTCGGTGGTGGTGGGCACTTCTCCCGTGGACACTTGTCAGAGTAGCGCTGCAGCAGCTTCCTCAGACAGCTGGGCTGGCATTTGGTCTCACACTTTTGTTCACATCTGGGGTCACAGTACATGGGCTCATTCTTGGGGTCACTGGGCTTGTTTTTATCATCACTCGACATTTTGTTCTTGGATATGTAGGCCTGAGAAGAAATGAGAGACAGAGTGTCAGTGAGGGAGAATTCACCGGGTTCTTCCTGCTGGCCCATGCTGTTTTCATGTGTTCAGTCTCTAGAACATCTAAGCGAGCCATTCTTAGATGTGTTTGGGTGTCTGCCCTCGCTCTGATTTCCTTCCTCTCTGCTTCCATTCTAGACTCCAAGCAGGTGCTCTCAGGGTCCCGGAATGTCACAACAACCATAAGACTTGGAATTTCAGTGTTGGTATTTTTTTGTAACCCCTTGTGTTTGGCGTAATTCATGTAAGTCATTATTTTGGAGTCCATAATGTGGATTGCATTGCTGGAAGCCTTGGTGGCCCCAGGTGGCCACGTCGTTACCCTCGGGAGGCAGGTTAGTGAATAGACTTGGGATGGCAGGAACATCTGTGAGTTGACTCCTAGGCCATCCAGTCTTGAAAACTGCTTTCTTTTCTAGTAGACTGAGGCAGGGAAGGCAACTGAGACTATTTTTAGCCCCATGAACCATTCTAGAACTTCCCTCCCTTCAAGGGATCACCAGGCTCTGTCAAACAGTTGGGGGGAAAGGAAGAGGTCAGGAGAGAAGAGATTAAGTGGGGGAATCTAATTTTGTGAATTTATGAATGCTAGAAGCAAGAAATATGATTTCCAGAAGGGAATTCCTTTTCTGTTGAGTTTTGCCCTGAGGTAGGGCTTTCTTTAAGGAAAGTTTACTCCTGAATTTGGACAGGGTTTTTAGTTTTGTTTGTTTTTTGTGGGGAGGGTTTTCGAGATAGGGTTTCTCTGTAGCTTTGGGGCCTGTCCTGGAACTAGCTCTTGTAGACCAGGCTGGTCTTGAACTCACAAATATCTGCCTGCCTCTGCCTCCCGAGTACTGGGATTAAAGGCATGTGCCACCACTGCCCAGCTGGGTTTTTAGTTTCTAACAACTCTTGAAGCTGGCTTTAGTTGGTAGGCTTTTGATTTTATTTAATAATAAAAAGTGAAATTCCATGAAATGTAGTTCAAATGTCAGTATGTCTCTCTGGGGAGGCAGATCTTCAAATGGAACTCCAAAATGGGTAATGTCCACTCTAGTCCTTGCTATTGAAAAGAACAAGAAGCTTTTACAAGACAAACCCCTCTCAATCCTACTTGGCACTGGGGTTGCTGCAGGTCATTCTTAGGACCCAGATGCACAAGAACAGCCAGGGCTGCTCAGGTGCAACTCACCCCTTTCTGTTGGTGGTGAAACTGGCAAGCAGTCGAGTGAGGTAGATGGAAGGGCTGTGCTTGGGGAGGTGGACTTCCCCGCTGGTTCCCCTGCTGCGCTCTGAGGAAGCTGGGGGTGGGCTGGGGGTGGGCTGGGGGCGGGCAGCTCTGTTTATGACATCATCACAGCATCATGAGTAGTGAGTGCTGGGTGACTTCAAACTCAATTCAAGAGAATCGAGCTATGGTTACTTAACTCCCAGCCTAGCCTTCTCTCTTCTGGTTCCTCAAAATCAATGCTGGGAGAACCGGGCTGCTGTGAAGGCTCAGGGCAGAAGGCTTGTTGCTGCCAGGAGTGGAAAAGCTGCCTAACTGTAAACCTGTGGTCTGTTCAGACTCTCAAAGCTGTTTTCCCTTCACCTTTCTGGAAAGTTCTCTGGGTCAGACACTTCCATTCATTTTCTTTCTTTTCCTCATTTTAGTGACCTGAGATCCTGAACTCTCTCTTATCTTCTCAGACTTGCTAACCCAAGTCCAAAGATTATTTAGCCACTTTTCTCAATGCATTGCTTCTCCTTCCCCGTCCTTCCCTGCTCCGACATGTCTGGTGGGAGGGCAGGGATTTATTTTTTGCACTTAGGATGTAGTCACCTTGACTTGATATTCAAGGTTAATGTGCATTGTAAGTAGTGAATCAGATGCTCCCGATCACTCCTGACCGGTTTCATTAACCCCAGATCCTGCTGCGTGGAAAGGCCTCCCGGAGGTCTGGTTAGGGAAGTTTACGGTTGGAACTGGGGTACCACTGAGTGGCAGTGGGAGACGGTTGGGAATAGCAGCAAATGGAGCTCATCAGAGACAGGGCTTGAACTCAGCCCCAGGAGTCTCATCTTGGCGTCAGTCACCGGGGTATCACGTGGTTGTTCTTAAAACTTTTTATTTTTCATCTTTATGTGTCTGAATGTTTTGCCTGATTCAGGTAACTGTGAGCACTGCATGTATCTGGTATCCACAGAGGACAGGAGAGGGCATAAGAATACTGGAAAGTGGAGGTACAGAGGTTGTGAGATTTCCTGCAAGAGCAGCCAGTGCTCTTTGTCTCCAGCCCACAAGGGATCCTGTATTAAAAATGTTTTATTATCATATCTAAGGTGTCCAAACCCTGACAACAGAGGGTGGGATGGATGGAGCCGGTGGCGGAGTGAAAGTGGGAAGTGGGGCCAGGCTACTGGAGAAAGCTTATAAGATGCTTGTGTCTGAAGGAAGACATGGGTGAACACAGAGGGCGGGTGCTGATGGAACATCTCCGCAGGGGTCAGCTTCTGTGTAGAAATGGAGAAGGAAGCAGAGATGATTCCAATTTTAGGATGAGAGCACTACCATTTCTGGGAACTAAAGAATTATCTTTTCCCTGATGGGCTAGGTGTTTGAGTCTGAGAATTCTGTGTGTGGCCACAGAGGCAGCTCTTCAGTGATATTGGGAACTGGGTTTTGTCTTGTGCCACTGGGCTGGCCCGAGACCTTGAACTTATTTTAATTCAACAGTCTTTATTGAGGGGATGAAAATGGGTTGGTTCAGAGACAAGACTGAGGGAGAGGAAAGAAAACGGATATGAAGGAGAGAGAATCATAATTCTCAGAGAAGGGAAGAATGAACGAGTCCTTAAACAATGACTGCAAACATGTCGAATCAGCAGAGGGAGGTGGGGCATTAGCCTCTTGGGATACCTGGTGTTGGAGACACAGTCTTTGTGAAGATCACTCATTTTTTTCCCTATATGATTTGCCATGGACTCCGTTCCCCCAAAGCTGCCCCCACATGCATTTGGGGGAGCCGATCTCCACTCGCTGCCGAATTCTAGACGCAGCTTCTGATCTGGATATGGAAAAGGCAGCCATCTTTCTAAGTCAGTGCCGAAGGGTTTTTTTCTTTTTTTCTAACCACTGTCATCTTTTGTCTGTCTTTCTTCCTCACTCAAGAATATTATCTAGTGACCGTAGACCAGCACGATTCGCTCATCTTCTCAGCCTTTGAAGCCTTCCCGTTCTAAAACTCAGCATATCTGCTCATGCCGCATGTGGCACCCTGCTTCCAGCCTCACACTGGGCTCCAGCTTTGTGGGCTGATGGCAGTGACTAATGAGATGACACACACGGTGCTTCTTAGGTGGCTGGGGCTCAGGAGAGAGGCTGCGAGGAGTGATGAGTAAGTGCCACTGTCTAGCCAAGATGGGTGGCTAAGAGCTAGGTAGGGCCTCCGTGTCAGATTCCTAGGTTCAAATCCTGCTTTCATCCTTTCCTTCCATAGTAATTTACCAATCCAGCCTATGTCTCAATTCTGTTACCTACAAAATGATATAATAGTAGCTCCTCTTTAGGATAATTTGCCTTGAGTACCACACTCATTACCAAGTGCAAAGCCTACACTCTCACCACTGTACAGCCTCACTGCTGGGGGTTGTAAAGATCAGAGAGCAGCCAGGCAGTGTTCACTGAATTTGCTGCCAGTGTGCTGCCTGGCTGCTTCATCCCTCAGGTTTCTGGATCTCTTTCTGTGTCTGTGCTCCCTTTCTCTCTCCCTCCCTCTCATAGTTTACATATGTGTGCCATGTTTGTATATGTACACAGGTATACATGCATGTGTATGTTCACGCAGGTGTGTGTCAGAGGCATTGGGTGTTATTCCTCAGATATAGGCACTATTTCTCCTTCCCTCCCCTCCCTTTCTCTCCCCTCCCCTCCTCTCCCCTCCCTTCCTCTTCCCTCCTCTCTCCTCTTTTTTCTTCTTCTCTCCACTCTCTTCCCCTCTCCCCTCCTCTCCCCTCGCCTCTTCCCTCCCCTCACCTCCTCTCTCTCTTCCCCTCTTCTTTCCTCCCTGTCAAGATTTCTCAGTGGCTAACAAACTCCAGGATTGATTGGTCTGACTTTTCCCAGCAATGGGATTCCAAAAGTGTGTCACTATGCTACCATGGCCAGCTCTTTTTCTTTTTTCTTTTTTAATGCATTGTTCCTGAGTACTGAATTCAGGTCCTCTTGCTTACGGAGTTGAGCCACCTCCACAGCTCTGTGTCACCATCTCTAGTTGCTTCTCATTTCTGACCTTGGCCCTGAAATGCCCCTTTTCAGTTTCTTACACTGTTCTTCCTCCTTGCTATCATTTTCTGACTTCCAGTTAAATATCCTGGTGATGTTTCCAGCGAGATTAAGTATTTCAATGTTAATGTTAAAACATAATTTCTGTTTTGAGTAAGAACAGTTCATATAAATGTCATTAATAAACAATAGTAATTTAGACATGAAGGCCAACCAAAGCCATCAGATGGCTGGGAGAGATGTCTCAGTGAGTAAGAATACTTATTCTACGAAGTGTGAAGACAGGTGTTAGACTCCCTAGGCTGTTCCCATAACCCTGAAGGTGGGGCAGAGCTGGGTGGACCCTGAGACTTTGTTGATGGGCCCCTTCAGTGAAAGTGGTAGGTTCACCCAGAGACCCTGCCTCAAGGCCAAAGGGCTGAGGAGGGTAGAGGAGGAGGACACCTGACTTCCTGATGTGACCTCTGAATTCACGTACATAGGTGTGTACCTCTCTCTCTCTCTCTCTCTCTCTCTCTCTCTCTCTCTCACACACACACACACCAGAAATTCCGTGGTTCCACTGTGTGTACCAAAAGGTCAGGGAAATTCTAATAATTGACAATTTTAGCTAGAATTTCCTTCTATAGCTTTATGCCAAAGTCTTTATTTTTCACTTTTTAGTTTATTCTTCGAGAATTTCATATATGGACACAATATATTTTGATCATCTTCTCCTGGGACTCCCTTTCCAATTCCCTCTGGATCCCTCTTCCATGTCCTCCACTCCAGCTGCCCAAAGATCCTCCTCTTAGGGGTGGGGCTTAAGCGCTTTCCCCTCCTTGTGCTGGGTTGTTGGCTGACTTCATCTTGCACAGGTGTTGTGCACACAGCCGTAGCTACTTGAATAAGTGAGTGCAACCGGCCAGCCATGCCCAGACTCATGGCTGTGCTCTGGTCCTCCCTGACCTCTGTCTTCTCTGCTGTTTCTGCTCTCTTTCCTGTGACAGCCACTGAGCCTCAGGGGCAGGAACTGTGACACAGAGGTCTCACTTAGTGTAAAGCATTTTATAGACACATTTAATTCTCTGCACTTTGACAAGCTGTGAATATCGGTGTTAACCAATGCCCACTGCGAAAGCTTTTTGAAGGGGACTGAGAACTACACTTCCGAGTGTAGGGAAGTATTTAAGAGGCAAATCGGCACTATGTCAATTTAACACAACTATAGTAATACTTTGTTGCCTAGGGCATGTGAGCTCCCCAGCCTTGGATTCTTGGCCAGATTTACAGCAACAGACATGCATTTGCTCCTGCAGAGAGGTCTTAAATCTAATTAGAAAACAGTTGACTAATCACACAGCATTCAAACCACTGTGGTATTCATGGACAAATCTCCCCAGAGGGTCATTATCATAACTTACAGTGTTCTCAGATGGGTAAGACCTTGACTTTTCCTCCCTGCAGCCGCCATGGCCCCTTCTGGTACTGTGGAAGCTAGCAAGCATGGAGGAAGCTTCCTGCCCAGAATCAGTTGGATTTCTCTATATCTTGTGTCCAGTGTTTGATGTCTGCTGTTATAGGGTCTTGCCGTCAAATTCTGGTGGGCAACTGGGAGCAGTGACAATAGCTTGTGTTCTTTTGGTCTCTGGGACCTCACTAATCAACAACCGGAAAGTACCTTACCTGGCTTTTTGCTTGACAAGCTATGGTTTCTAGGAGTAGAATTAACCTCTGTCATCTGTCTGTCTGTCTACCTGTTCATTCATGAAGCTTATGAAATAGTAAGTTTTCAAATGAATATTTCCGACATCCCTAGTGTTAGTTCCCCCTCCACATCCCCTTCTTTGCCGTCCCGTGTCCCCACTGAACTTATGCCCCCATTGCTGTTTTTCTATTTTTCTGGTTAAATTTTGTCAAATAAGCAGTACTCAAAGAATAAAGTCAGGATCACTATTCTTGTTCTTGAAACCTTTTAATACCCTTTTCCTTTCTCCAGGGTTTGACTCTTCCCTCTAGGGTGAAATCTCTAGTAGGTCCTATTGACTTTTAGGGCCATGCTAAGATGTGAA